TTTTGCCATGGGTCCGTCACTTGCATTTCAGTTACACGCACACAGAGCCGCAAGATTTCAACGTGCGCTGCACGGACGGAGCAATTCAATAGAGGGAAATCAATTTCGTGCCTAGCAATTTGCTTTTCACCCGCAAACGATCACGTCGGGATAATACCTGCGATTCGGTGATTGTTTCGCGATAAGACAAACAACCAGGGCGAACGACACCGGACGAAACGAAAACCACGTCCACCTTCTTCCAAATATTTTCAACAACGTGGTCCGCCCGTTTCTGCGAGCGATTTCGCTGGCCATTATTCACTTACTCTTTTTTTTTTTTTTTTTCTTGTTCATGCATCGACATCGAAGTCATTAGCGACTTACTCAAATATTGAAGGATAATTTTGGAAAGTCAAGGCTTCTCTGTCACTCAAAGTCTGTGCATTCGCATAAAATGTGTCGAGCTAAGATAAATTTTTAATTATTTTCCATTACAAAAGGGAGGGTCAGTCTTTTTAATTAGATATTCAGGGGTTATTTTGGTGTGTCCTTAATTTCTTGGTTAGTTTCTTTCTTGGTTAATTCGCTGAATTTCTTCGGTAGAAGTCATTTACCACGTTGTGAATCTTCCTCCGATTTTGTCCATTCATCCTTGACGTTGGTTCTTGCATAGTGTACAAGTTCTTGATGTGGGATAGGAATCTTTGACTCACGTGGTAGGGTTACTTCATACTTCTACTTTCGCTCGACGTTCTCTTCCTTTCTCTGTTTTTTCGTTTCTTTTTCCACAGACTGAATGATACACGAACTCGCAGTTCGAAACAAACGGTGGAAAATTCACAGCACCAAGGTCGGTGAAAATTTCCAGCAAAAATTTTCCGCGGGGAAATTTATTCGGCCGGTGAACTCGGAAAGTTCGCCGAACATGGAACATCGCGGCGAGTGAAACGCACGGTTCGCCGCGGTGCAGTCGATTTTGTCAGAGCCCGGTCGGCATTCGCATGCCCGATGCACAGCGGTAAATCCTGTCCTATCCAAAAACGAGAAGTTGCCGCTCGCAAATCTCGTTTCGAAAACTGGCGCATTACCGTGGAAAAAAGCGCGACCTTCTTTCCCCCGCCGCCCGCGGAAATCCACTTGCAGTGGAAGCTCTCGAGTGAAGGAGGGTCAAAGTGCGCCGGCAACGGTGCCCGTTGTAAGTACAAATATCCTCGAGGACGAACGCCCCGTGGAATATCCGGCAGAAATCCGCGCGGAATCGTCCTCGGAGACGTGCACTTCGACTGAGAAGAAGAAGAAGAAGAAGAAAAAAAGACCGAACGTATCTTTCGTTACATAACGTACCAGCGGGGGGAGAATTTTGTGCCCAACAGTTTATCGCGAGTGATCGAGCTGCGCTCAGTAGTGGAACTCTGCTACGCAACAGTATACATCCAAGAAAAATTTAAATTTAAAAAATTTATATATATATATACATACGTCTTTTGTATATCGGACAAAGTGTAACTGTAATTTTACAAATTACCTAATATTGCATAAATTGTTCTTAAATTTCTAAAAATTCCTAAGTCACCTTCATTTCTGAACTTAAACCGAATCCTCGTAAAAATTGAAACATACACTTTTGGATGTCCGAAAAATTAAAATCGTTGATATAAAATTGGATCTCCTAATATTGCATAAATTGCTCTTAAATTTCTAAAAATTCCTAAGTCACCTTCATTTCTGAACTTAAACCGAATCCTCGTAAAAATTGAAACATACACTTTTGGATGTCCGAAAAATTAAAATCGTTGATATAAAATTGGATCTCCTAATATTGCATAAATTGCTCTTAAATTTCTAAAAATTCCTAAGTCACCTTCATTTCTGAACTTAAACCGAATCCTCGTAAAAATTGAAACATACACTTTTGGATGTCCGAAAAATTAAAATCGTTGATATAAAATTGGATCTCCTAATATTGCATAAATTGCTCTTAAATTTCTAAAAATTCCTAAGTCACCTTCATTTCTGAACTTAAACCGAATCCTCGTAAAAATTGAAACATACACTTTTAGATGTCCGAAAAATTGAAATCGTTGATATAAAATTGGATCTCTTAATATTGCTCTTAAATTTTTAAAAATTCCAAACTCACTTTCATTTCTGAACTTAAACCGAATCCTCGTAGAAATTGAAACATTCTTTTGGATGTTCGAAAAATTAAAATCGTTGATATAAAATTGGATCTCCTTCTTCCATAGGATCAAAAAAAAAGACGTGTACGATAAAGATAGAATGAAGAAAATTCGGTTCTAAATTTTTTACAAAAGGAGCAC